CAGAAAAGACCTACCGCGATGCGCTGATCGCTCGATAGTCGGCGCATCGTTGAGAAGAGTGCAAGGGCCAGACTCTCGAGAGAATCTCAACCACCACATGGCTTTCCACGCCGAGACGAGTTCCCGTTCGTTCACGTGCGTTGTGTACGCTAGAACACTGAAATGGCATCCGGAGTCCAAGTAAACATGCCATATGCGCAGCGCGGTATTGATGGACTTCGCGCGCCAACGGGACTCGCGTCCGCTATCATAGGTGACTTCGAACTTTGAGACTGACGGAACGCGATGGGCTCCGCGATTTCAGACGTTCATGGTCGCATCACAGCCACATGGACATTGCCAGGTCGGTGTGCACGCAAACGTCGACGGTCAAGACTGAGGCGTTATCGGGTGCTGCGACGGTCGTTCAAGGTCCAGAAAGGGCCTATCACGGTGCGCTGCGCTGATCGCTCGATAGTGGATGCATTGATGAAAAGAAGAAGTGGCACAGGGCCAGGCTCCCGCGAGAACTCCAATTCGTGCGCGGCCTCTCACATTGACGCGAGTGCCCATTCGTGCACGCGCAGCACAAGATGAAGCTTCCAAGGATCATGGACAGATGTTTCGCGACATGGGCTCTCGCCGCCATGCATTTTGCAGACTTGGAGGTACGCTGACGGTGTTTCTCCTTCGCGTTTGAGAGATTTTAAATGTTTGTATCTCGGTACATATGGACACTGCTATGCGTTCTTTTACCCACGAATACGAAGTTCATCTTATCCATTCAATTGTGCCGAGAATGCCTGTCAGCCAATGCGAACCCGGACGCATATTAAATGGCGTGCTACAACCACAGCACAATGACCCTCACAGGTTCGAGATAAGAGTCCCGTACGTATGGGCATGATGCTGTACAGCCATGCCCAGAATCGACAATGAGGTTCTGTGGTCCAGAAGGGAAGCTCGAACTTTGTTTGAATGCCACGCCTCGCTCAGTACCATTGTTCAGCTGGCAGGGATCAGCGTGTTCAAGTCATGCTCTTTTACAACACCCACACCAATGCCATTTATGTCAGTCTCTCGGTAAGGACTCGCAATGCTACAAAGTACCGTCCTCCCAATACTGGCTTATGTACCGCACCATAGCAATTAAGATATAATACCAACAAGATAGTCCGGAGAGCTATGACCAATGCAGAAGCCATCATGACTCACGGAAGATAGCACTCGGCACTTGACATGAGTCACGACGGTTCTTTACATGAAGGGGCTAGAAGCTTGAAATGATGGTGAATGCGGTGCGTAGGAAATCACGATGACCTTTTATCTGTCGCTGGCAGAGCGGGATAATTAAGACTGGCTCTGGAGTATACATGCCCTACTAGCAAGATTGGAGAGAATGTCGGCAGTGATCTGTTGAAAGACAGATGCATCAGTGAATGATAGCACTGCCCCCTGGACTTACCCTGCATGCAGATTTACCCCAATTCTAAATGCAAGATGACGGACACCCGACATGTGAGAACTTATGTAAATTTCTTATCCGAAGTCCGGTCATCAACGGCGATCAGCGATCAGAGTGGTTGTGAGATTGACTTCGCGCAGCCACGAAGTGCATCTAGACGTATGCATCGTGGTCTCCTGGCACCGCAGATAATGCGCTGGGCGTGACCGGTGAAAGCTAGGCCGGGGCGGCGGTGACATGAAGATCAGCAAGGTGTGAGACCCTTTCGTATGGACTAGACTGTAAAGCCCTTTCTGTTGTGTACCAGCCCTCATCTTTCACATTCTTTGCGGTCGTTCAGCACTTCCTGTCAAAGAAATATATTCGCATGCACTGCACATACCCAAGCATGGTCGATCCATTGACATCTGTCTACTTGACCGGGGGCATGACCCACGCAGGTGGCCTTTGTGGCTCCCCATCACAGCTGACTCCGCTGTCTTGCTCGATGCCCTCCTCACTGAAGAACTGTCGTAACCAACGGGCTGCCAGCAATCAAGAAGAGTACATGGAAGAGCAATCTGACACCCACCCCGTTACCGATGAACACCTGTGCCCTCTGTCCGATGAGCATGTCCACTGCCTGCTGGACATATTTCTGTTCCTGGTTCAGCACCAGGTCCCTACTGCT